CCTCCTCTCTTCTTCTTCTTCTTCTTTCTTTCTTTCTTCTCCCTACCCCTCCCTCCTCTCTCTCTCTCTCTCTCGGATGGAACAGCTGAGCGATTATCTCGCACACAACTAATTACGCGATACTGCTGCCAAAGCACGTCAAAGTAGTCATCTTGTAGCATGTTACAGTTCGTTGGCAATACAATGAACAAAACCCCGTCTTATCAGTCGTCGAGCTAAACATCTTAGTGGGTGTCGCTAAAACTTACTCCTACTTTATCAAGAAGGTAGTTTGGACCTATTGAAATTAGAATATTGCAATTCTATGGAATGATGTATGTGTGATATTGTCAAAGAATACCATGCAGATATGTGTGGGCGTGAGAGATTGACTAGACACGAGGTGTCATGATTCATGATCTCGATTTCACAAAATGAGCTGAAACGAAAGATGCCTCATAACAATTGAATTCTTCCACCTTATTCGGGGGATACAACACGTGACACCGAGTATAATCTCTCGTATCATACCTCTCGCCAGATTCGCTTGTGATAGCATCTGAAATGCATCATTCACGATTGTCGACAGGTGCATGTGATTCTTCGTGAATTCCTCTACACTTAAATCAAGCCAGGACAAATACCCCTGTGTAAGACAGCTATATTAAAAATTTCGTAAGTACTGTTTCCTATAATGTTGACAGGATTATTTGTGAACAAATCGCTTTATTCACTTGTAGATTCACAAACAAAAGAATTTGATTGATGAAACGTTTATTGCATTGTTATATACACACTTTGTCACTTATATACTTTTATCTTATTAGAGAGAAGTCATGTCGTACTCTATCAATAGAAGACCTCTATTAGGGGGTGCATCTGATAGCGAATTTGAAGATGATTTGGAAACTGAAATAGATGATCCTAATATTGTAATTCCCGATGAGAAACCATTTTTAAAACCACATGAACCACATGACAAGTATGTTCCAATGCTACTAAAATTTAGATTTAAAAATTATTTAATAGTAAAATCTATTTCTAACTATATGTATGACGTTCTTTTTAATTTTTAACATTTCAGATATAATCTTGCATATATAGTGTTTTATTTGCTCGGAATAAATACATTAATTCCATGGAGTTTTTTTATTACTGCTGACGATGTAAGTAAAAAATAATTCCTTATTTTTCTCTGATTGTTCGTACTGTTACTTAAGCAGTATTTCTTTTTCAGTATTGGATGTATAAATTCAGAGAGATTCATAGTAATCTGACAAATCTTACTTATACACATGCAGAACTATTGGAACAAAAGACAGATCTTCAAGCTAGTTTTACTTCTTACTTAAGTGTAGCCAGTGCATTGCCAAATACTCTTTTTCTAATAATAAATGCATTCATTAGCAAGAGGTAGGTCAAAAGTCGTTAATAAAGAATAATTATTAAGTATGTTTAATAATAAAAATTTCTGAATTCCAAGAATCTCTCTAACTATAAGAATGGTGGGTTCACAATGTACAATATTGCTGCTTTTTATTTTGACGACTACATTTGTAGAAATGGATACTGATAAGTGTAAGTTGTTGTAATTATCTTATCTTTAAAATTCTTCATATTCTAAGCAAATAATCGGTATTACTTTTCTCGGATAGCGAAATAACAAAACAATATCTTTATTTTTAGGGCAAAATGCGTTCCTAATTGTTACTTTGACGACAGTTGCCCTTGTAAATGGTATGTATATCATTTGGATTTGTAAATATAAGAGATATATCAATGATAAATTTTATTAAAAAAAGAAAGATGATATAAAATTTTTTAGCTGCAAGCGCTATTTTTGGAGGCAGTTTAATGGGTGTAGTGGGAAAGTTTTCACCAAAATATATAACCGCTATGTCGGGTGGGCAAGCTCTTGGTGGAATATTCACAGCCTTAGCTGAAATATGCTCCTTGTGGATAGGAGCCAGTCCAGTACTTTCCGGCTTGGTGTATTTCATTATCGGCGACACCATGTTATTGTTATCCCTGATTGCATACATCGTTTTAGAACGAGCGGTAAATTAATTTTGTTTGACGTTACCTTAATATATATTCAAATTTTAAACCGATCAGCAATTGTCATATGCAGAATAAGATCAATTAATAATAATTATTGTTTTGTTATAACGAGATGATGCATGAGGCGCAAGTGTTTTATAAATGTATGATAAGCTACTTATGATAATTCATAACACAAAACACATTGCACATGCCACAGCGTATTACATTACTATAAAAAATCTATTCAAAGTCGAGATGGGTTTGAATTACATACAATTCATTTAATACTGCAATTTTCAAATTTTTTTGGTAGTGCGATTCTTTTTGCATGAACAAACTTTTTTAATTAAATTCACAAAGCCTAGTTATTTTAAGAATAGAATTTCATAAAAATCATGTGTTTTGTAGCCATTTTTCAAACATCACATGATAGAAAAAGTACCTGATTGCTTGGAGTCTGATTATTCGATAAGTGGGGAAGTCAGTTTTTCGGCAGATCGAAGTGTATCTTATACACGAATTATAAAAAGGATCTGGCATTATGGCGTTAGCATATTTCTAGTATTTTTCATATCATTGGCTGTGTATCCAGCTGTTACTGTGCTGGTGGAGAGTCAATACAAAGGCCATGCATGGAACGGTAAGCCGAGATTTTTACATATATTAAATATGTTTTATTGATTTCGAACATAAATATCATCTGATGATTTTTTACAGACATATATTTTGTACCTGTGGTTACGTACCTCATCTTCAGTACGGGTGATTACGCTGGAAGAGTATTATCTGGTATTTTTCAATGGGTGAGTATCTGCAATTCAATGCAACTTGCAAATATTTGTTTACACGATGTTGATCAAGTTTGTTTCTTATTACAGCCAAGAGGCAAACCATGGCTCGTGATGTTCATGAGCGTCATTAGAAGTATTTTTATACCCGTGCTTATGTTTTGTAATGCTCAACCAAGGCATCATCTACCCGTTTATATTCACAATGACATATATTATATTTTAATAACCATCGTGTTTGCTGTAACCAACGGTTACCTCTGTAATTTAACGTTTATTCTCGCGCCTACGTAAGTATCTTTCATTATGAATTATAATATACACAATATTTTATATATATGTGTGTATGTATATATATATATATATTGATTTCACAGAGTTGTAGACAGTCAGGAAAAGGAAGTTGCATCTGCAATGATGGGTGCTTTCTTAGGTATAGGATTAGCATCTGGAGCTGCGCTTAGCTTATACATGGTGAAGGCTCTCTAATACTCGATCGCAACTGAAAATATAAATAAAGTACATCATCCCACTGCCCTTTGTACATTCCAAATCAGATAGAACCACGACACGAGTTAATCACCAACTTTTTAAATATAATGACATTAATATAAATTTATTTAGATGATCTCAATCGTTATTATCTTAAAGTAATATGACATATAGAAACTTGTTTTCTCACAAGAGACATTCTGCGAAGAATGGTTATAACTTTTTATGAGTTAAACTTGTTCTATATCTCTGTCTATGTTATGTATATTTTGATTGCATGGTACAAGTACTTTTAAATCATCCTATTTAATATATAAAACAATTGTAGTAATTGTAGTAATTGACAAAATATGTCGACAAATTATTACTACATATAAACAAATATACAATATTAATATTGCAGAAATTCTCCGTAATTTACATAATTTTTTAACATATTTATAATCTAAAATAAAATAAATGTGATTACAAACATTTTCATACCATGTACATATAATATAAAAGGAATAAATATATAAAGTAATTGTTTTTAATATGACATTGTATAATTGTATACATTCATCCTTGAATATAGCATCTATATTATTTAAAAAATTCGTATTTGTAATAGAGATGAGAAAGAAAGATATATATATGATAAATATTATTTTCCTTGCGACCTTTTGTAGGCTCAGATTCTTATCTTGCTTCTAATCATTCACTAACTTTTGTGGCGATTTGTTTGAGACATTGTTTTGCAAAATGTCATCGCAAAATGTAAAAATAATGTAAAAGTTTCTCCAGGTGCTCTCATCTAATTTCCAGTACATCTTATATGTTTCTTTAATAGATACATCTGCTTCTTTTATGTCATAAAATGAAAAAAAGTGAGACAATGCAACAATATAATAGTTACGAATTAAGAACTCGTTATTCAAGTAGTTGTTTGTTTTACCCAATTTTACATTTCCACCGTCTTGTTTTATCTTTTTAAAGTCTATTAATGTTTATTAAAATTAATTATTTTCATCTTCTGATATGCGTAAATCGAAGAAACGTGCAATATCTTCATTGTCATCTCGTTCAAAAAGAACAAGACAGAAAAAACATGTCTGCTCTTTTATACTATTTCAGATAATCGAAATGTCAAAACATAGATTTACACTGTTCTCGATTGTATTCTCGATTATACGTGTTATTCCCTCCATCACGGGTTACGTGGTTTCGTGTCTCTCCATTCTGGCATCATGGCCTGACAATTCTATGAAAATCAGTAAAGATGTTTGTTGTTTTCAGACAGGCGTTAAAATTAAAAAGATCTCTTATAAGATCATTAAATAGAATCTGCAGGAGGAATTAGTTAGAACACAATGCCGGTAACTATATGTTTTATTCTGATTCAACTCGTACTTCCGTCAAACTCTTTTTTAATTCCAGTTTTATTTGCAATTTATCAAAATTATGTTCTATGTCTTGAAAGAGATAAAAGCTATTATGATATGAGCAATATTTTTTATGTATTTAAAGAATTATATTGTGCATTATTTGTTTGAGGATGGTCTTTGTAGCAATTAAATTCTTTTTTACAGGTATCCACATATAAAAAGCAAGGCAGTTGTATTATCCGCAAGAAGAATGTGAAATAAATTGAACTGACAATATATTCATCAGTTTATATTTATTTCTCTCTTTCTCATACTGTGAATCTCATACATATAGTTTAAAGACTAGAAAATATCACATTTAAATCAACTATCAACAATTCTGTCAGCAGAAAGTACACTCATTTAATTACTTCTTTCAACGAATAAGATATAACAAAACAATTAAACTAACATCTAAAGTAGTAAGATTTTGATCTTTGCAATGATATTTTATATAAGGGTATGCCAATGCTGATGTAATTTTATTATTACTTATATATGTTTTTACCAAATTGTGAACAAATTTCTTGTGCATATTAGAATAATAAAATAATAGTTATAATTTAATCATAAATAACAAAGTGATGCTCGCTTATTGGAGCAAACACATATCTCATGACGTATCACGCGATCGACAATACTGTCGTTCCTTGTCAGTGAGTGGAACAAACATTACGCTTATCAAGGGTCGCTGCTTGATTTTGCCATCCAGAGTCTTGTCGACTTGCACTAACGTTTGATCCGAATTTTCAGGACCCATCGGTACTATTAAACGTCCACCAGGTGCTAATTGATCTATTAACTATAAATCAAAAGATAATGTTTGATTAATTCAAGAAAATTAATTTTATTTGTTGCATTTCACTTACTGGTTGTGGCATTTCCTTGGCAGCTGCTCCCACATGAATAGCGTCGTATGGTCCACGATCGGCATGTCCCAATCTTCCATCACCAACTAAATCATGATTAAATAATTTTATTATACTGGAAAGAGTATGTGGCAAAAAAATGTATATAAATTATTTAAAAGTAGCTTTTATTTACCGATTAATTCCACGCGTTTGTCACGCAAAAGTTCTGGATGATCATGTCGAATGTTTTCTTCAGCCATTGTTCGAAGTTCTGGAATATGTTCGATTCCGACAGCTAAACCTTTCGGTCCCATCATAATAGCCATGCATGTCGTCAAATATCCAGATCCCGAACCAACATCCAAAGCCCTTTTACCGCTACGTAGTTTTTCTTCAAGCAATTCCAGAGCGTACGCATGCTAAAGAATTTCTATTTGTCTTCTTGTTATTTCCTTTTCAGTGTTTTTTATCAGTACCAGTTATTATTTGTCAAAGTGACTGCTATTTTATTTTTAAATAAAACTTGTTTACATGTGACTTTTGATCTTACAATATAAATTAAGTAGCAATTTTCACGCAAATTATAAAGAATCAACATTTTCCTATAAAGATAAGAAAAATATATACAAAGAATGATACCATATGTGGAGCACTAATGGTAACACCATAACCAATTCCTTGTGGAGAATCTATGTAAGCATGAGTAGGATGAGTATATTTCCCTCTGTCTACAGAGCTCATTGCTTCAAATACTTTGTCAGATTTGATCACTCTGGTTCCTAAAAATTATTTTCACATGTCATATATATTTGGGCTTCATATACATATCAACAGGAAATAATCATAATTTTATGACATTTAAACTTATCTATGTTTTTATTCACTTTTTATCAATTTAAATTATTTTAAATTAAAAACAAAATTAATTATTTATTTTCGGGAAAATTCAGTTTTCTAGTTTAGTAGATTAAAGCTGGATTGGCCTGAATTCAAATAGAGCAGATTGTAAATATTCCACAAACTATGTTGCAATTCTAAATAAACAGAAATCTTTTGACGTCAAGAAGCAGCGAGTGAGACGATGGTGAGGAGGGCGATATGACGCAACATTGCATAATCATACGATTTACTTACGTTTGAGATGCTGAACGAGTTCCTGATTGTTTCTACCGTGATAACGACCATACATGATGTACACGCACGCAACGGACGACAAAATTACAAATATTGCGCAAAGGCATTCAACGATGAACGACCGAATTTTGAGGAAATGCGTGGTGACTAGATTGTTGAAAGAAACAAACGAAACAGCCCAACCGGCAGTTCGTCGCTCAAAGTAATTACTACATATATACCGCTTTGAACAGTCTCACGATAACCGTTACGATTTGACCGGATCGATTGCGAGATCGCCAACAATTGTTGGACAACACCGCGCGACCTTCGCCTTCACATGTCTCTTTACGTCGGAAAATCTACATACTATATACACCGCTATATATAAAACGCAAAGACGCGTTACGCGCAGTGTGGCCAGATTTGAGACGCAAGCAGCAAGCAGCACGAGGGACGGAATCCCGCACACATGCGCAAGCCATGTATACACATGTGAGCTCCGCGCTTTGGCTAGCTTCGAACGCTAGAAAAGAGCAGACGTACTATTTCTGTCTCTTTTCTTACGCTCCATTTTATCCGAGATTTTATGAAATTGTAACAGGAACACATGATGATGCAGAAGCTCACTCGGAACAGAGCCATCTTTTGGTTACCTAAAACAACATAACATAACGCCTGTACATGTTGGTAAATGTATCGACTGCATTAGTCGGTATACACTTACCATCAGTGATTTTGTCATGTTTGTCAGATGTTGTTGTCATCAACATCTAGCCAAAAGATAGCACTCCTCCGAGTAAGCTCCTGTATCACCATGTGCTCCTGTTAACAATTTATTAAGATCCCGGTTAAAATGAACGGGTATCTTAATTTTTTTACATGCTTCTGGGTTACTTTTGACAGTATTAAAATGCTCGTAAATTACTTAAATAATTAAAATGTCTCTTTTAAAATTTTTGGAAAGTTTGTTGTAAAATTCAAAATGCCAATTGTTAGAGAAATTAAAAAACGACATCGTTCTTAGGACGTTCTTAGGAAGTCTTTTTTTAAGACGTTTTTAGGACATCCTAAAGATGTCTTTTCTAAGACATTTTTAGGATGTCCTGAAAATGTCTTATTTAGGTCCCCTAAACAGAAATAGTACGTCTGCTGACATTAGAAAATTATTCATTTTTATTTGATGAATCGTTCGCGATTTTCGTTTAATATCAAGATTTTCGATGAAGCTCGCAGCCTCACCGTGTGGTGTCATATGCAACACTTACTACATCTTTCTGCATTCATGTATTTTTGTACGACTACGAATAAAGCAAAAATTTTCGTAATTTAGAGACAAAGATGTTTGATTTGACGAGTTCTGTCAATTGGATTTTTCCCCAAGACTATCTGTACAAATTACATTGTACTTAATTTTTGATCGTGAAAATATTAAACTTGTAAACAATTAAAAATAACTTACAAAAATAAAACTAAACTTTATCTCATTGTTTAAAAAAAGTTTATTTTTCTATTATAAATTTTACTTATTACAATTCTTTGTCGCACAAAAAGTGGAGATGTTGATATTTGAAATTATGAATTTTATGAAACAAAAGCATTATACAGATATTGACATAGCTGTAACAAATCCAGAATTTTGCAGCAACATACAATAATAATCCAAAATGATGAACATTGTGATAATTTGCAACATGTTAATTTAAAAGAAATGGACAATGTAGAAGAACTAATGGAGAGTGTATGCAAAATATAGTTTATTAATATATTCTCAATTGAAAAAGGAGTATACTGCATGTCTACGCACACGCGAAAAAAATTAGTTTGTCGATACAAATTCCGATTATCATTGATTAGCAGGTTTGTACACGATTATTTAACGTCACCTGTTCGAATTTCGCATTTGCTGTGAAATCTTGTCCTAAGATTTTTAATTACGTAATTGAGTAGTAGGATCTGTGAGAGGAACGTAAGAGACTTGCATCAATTTCTTCTTCGTTATTGTGCCGTCTGTGTTTCTGTCCACTTGCAGCAAATCTTGAAACCTTTGAAAACCTTCTATAGCCACGACCGGACAGATTAGTCGACCTCCGGGAGCCAATTGGTCTATCAACTGCAAAGATCACACAATTTAAACGTGCATGTTGTTACAGCTTCTTTCAGCACCTTTTTCCAAATTGTAACTATGCTGCTGATGCCTGTACCTCTTGCGGCAAAGTTTCAGCCGCTGCTCCAACGTGTATAGCGTTGTAAGGACCATCAGCAGCGTGACCCAATCTGCCGTCTCCCACTAGGCGCATTCATAATGACCTGTTGTTAGTCGGCAGTCTTTATCTTTTACCTTTACAGCAAAGCCATACAATCGGTGGACAGTGTTCCATTCGACTCTTCACGGCAACGTACATACCTACTCCACGTGGATGGGTCGCGAGTATCTTTTATTCGAACTATGCATACATGTAATATTTGGTGATCTTGAACGGTTTCTATTGTATGGTGATTTTTATACTGAGATGATAAGACGTGTGTGAAGGAATAGCGCAACATTGACGAGAGGAGGAGTTACTGTCTGATGAAGGAACATTCCAGGGACGATAATAGCAAGGACAATGTTAGTAAAGTATCTGCAGCTTACCGACAAATTTGATGCGGCTTTCCTTGAGGAAGTGCGGATTGTCCTCGCGCACGTTCCTGGTGGAGATCTCTATCAGCTCGGGAATATGCTCGATACCTATTACGCGTCCGCGCGAACCCACCATGAACGCCATGCAGGCGGACAAGTAACCTGAGCCTGAACCGACGTCAAGTGCCCTGGCGCCATCGAAGAGTTGATCGGAGAGAATTGACAATGCATATGCATGCTGCAATAGATACAATATATGATTTATATAACAGTGTTATCACAAATAACCTCAAGGAATCTGCACATTATCTTCGATGGCAATTATTTGCGTATAATGTATCAACATTCTTATTTGACAAATCTCCAATCAGCAAATATAAGTTTAACATAAATAACAGAAGGGTGAGATAAGGAGGTTACTCTGATATCCCCATTTCAAGCAGTGTTCCTCTGATATTGTTAATTTCAATATTCTTGCTTCACACCACCCCCCCCCACCCACACACACATATATATAAGCATACTCGGCTATAAATATCTCATGTATAGTGCACTAAAATTAATTTATATTTCATATAACAATAAAAATTAAATGGATATCAACACCCAACAGCAGTTAGAAATGCATTAAGCTAAAAATTTATTTATAATATTTACTTATAAAAATATTTGGGAGATTTTTTGAAAATTATATCGAGAGTCCACCATTTAGATTAGCAATTATATTTGAAATATTATATATGTTTTATAACTATATATTTCTTTTATTTAATGTTTTGTACAAATATCAATAAAGCAAGATGATTATCTGCACAAATTCAGTCATCACACAAAGCTCTTTGTATTTATTTTATCAAACATAAAATATATAACATAATTACCATATGTGGTGCACTAATTGTCACGTTATAACCAATTCTCCTAGGACGGTCAAGATAAGGATCTGGTTCGTGACAATATTTAGCTCTATCAACAGTGAGCATAGCAGCTTCTGCTTTGTCCGTTGCCAATATTCCAGCATCTGCGAATAATCTTAGTTCCTAATTATCATAAAAATAAACAATAGTCTCTAAAAAAAGAGAAACCCAGCACTATTATCTACATTAATTAAGCCATTTTCTTCAAACTATACCCTGCGATATCATTTACCTTTTAGCTTTGTCACCATTTCTTGATTTGTGCTGCCGTTGCAGTGCCATGCCATGCTTTGTAGACTGTTTCTTACGACTCACAGGCTTTGTAATGTATCCAGAAAGGACTGTTTTACATAGAACAATATACAAATGATTTGATAAACAAATACTGTCGACAGAAACGGATGAAGATGATTTCTAATAACATGTAGATAGTAATGTAAGACAATTACTAACAGTGAAATAATTAATGTAAAAAGCAAAAGATTAAGTATAAACACACCTTGAAAACAAAGCCCTCAAGAAAGCCTCATTTATCACGAAACGTCCTCATTTCTTTTGTATACATGCCTAATATGGCCGTGGGGGTACAGGAATACAGGTAGTGACCTTAACGGAGCACTACTGGTGGGGGGTATAAAACAGCTGATGCGGTATTATCGATTCCCTTCTCGTTCCCAAGATAGGGGCTGTGAGCCAACACAAGCACGAATTTTTCGTAAGATACGTGCAGATTTATATCGTACCAAACAAATATTATATAGTTAACTAGAAATGTTTCAACACAGCAGGATCGGATTTAAAGAATTCTATTTATAGGGATCTGCTCTGCGTTATTGAGACATCGAGCAAAATAATAATGCTAATTTTTGTTTAATTTCGTTAATTTAAAACCTGTGCATGTAATCATTAGAGAAATAAATAAAAAAGTAATAATGGTTTGATACAGGAAAAGAACACTTACCGGATGATTCAATTATATAACTGTTACAATTCTATTTGTGTCGCTGTTAACAGCTGTTAAAGACATTTGACTTTCGAGCGGTTGATCGATGCACATTTTGATTGCGAGTTTTGATGTCTTGGCTATGAATATAAAACAATTAATAAACAAATTTTTTTCATAATTGAAAAATACGGTTTTCGAAACCGTAATTGTTAACGTAAAAACTTAATTAGATTCGAATAAATATATTGTATTCTAACTTGCTATAACCTAAATTACAAATTACATCTATATCACATCATAGACCTGTAATATATAGATTTGCCACTCATATGCTTTTAGCACCATCTTTTTTATGGTAGATTTACATTGCATGCGATCTCGATATCCAATGAGAAAAGGCTTTCTATAGAGATTATAATATTTGTTTCTAAAAAATAGATTTATTCACACATGTTTGCAACATTGGACGCACGTGCAAATTTAAATTTATCAGAAGAGTTCAAATTCGGGATAATTTTATGAAACGAGCTTTTGAGAAACATGTTTGTCATTAATTAAATATAATTGTAAATAGATAGATTGCAATTACAAAGAAATTTTTTTTAAATTAAGATTACAGACGCAAACTTTGTAAAATAATTTGTTATCACACATCTTTGGGGGTTAAATGTGAATTGACCATTTATAACAAATAATAATTAAAAATAATTCTAATTTGACTAAAAAATCTATAAATAAAAAAATGTGATATATATCTGCGTTGTTTGATATTATTTGATTAATAAATCGCATGATCCCCGTTGCGTTATCATGCGACAGATGCAAACGTAGGCATGTTTTTCATATCGAAATTAGCTCATTTCTCGCATCGAGTTGTAAGTTTGTCAATCAATTCATTGGACAGCTGCGTAAATTAACTCTCTTCCGTGATCCAGTACAATGCTACCGATAATAAATTATAGAGCACACCCGCTTGTGTATGTCGAAATGATTTAAAACGAGGCAGAAAACGCGATAAAGAAGATGTCATTCTAAGCTGAATTGACGAACAACTACACCAACATTTTTACGCAAAAAGGTGTTTTACGCCATGACAATATGATAGCAGTTGAAACATATGAAATGTTGACAATGATATCGATTTGAGTCGCAAAAAGAAAACTGAATTACAATTAAATATTAGTATAAATCTAAAATTTAAATTACATGCAAAAGATTTTTTTATATATTTATACAAATGATATTTAATAAACTATATTTAATAAACAAAATCGATCTGATCGATTAAAACTATTATCTGTAAAATTTAAGAAATAAAGAATTTTTTTCAAACAACTTATACATGTATTAAGATTATAAAAAGAAATAAGCAAAATTAAATTTATCACAAATATTGATACAAATCGTCTGATATCTTTAAGCGATTATTTAGAACATTTGGTATTTATATACGTAGTCAAAGAATTCAATCATACATTCAACGCAATCTTTTTCTATTCAATCCTAAAAGAGTGTTTAAGCAGGGAAACCGATGATATGTTCGATAAACTGAATTGTTTGATATGTACACAGAATATGCGTGTGTCCTTTATTCACGTGTCTTCATCAGCGAATGACGACGAGATAAGGATGCCCCTTCCGACGAGAATTTTCGCGCGATTAGCGATCACTATAAATCGAATTAGAACTCGTACAACGATCGAGTAAACGACGAAGCGGGATACTGTTCTGATTGTACCAATGCATTGGTCCTCCACCATTCGTAAAATTCATCTCTTCTCGATCCTTTGATCGAACCCACTCCGATAATAACAAAATACATCGCCGGTGTGGCCGTGCTTTTTTGTAAAAACGACGTGCGATGGAGAAGCACGAAAAGTCGCTGAAGGAACCAGGAAAGCTGCGGCAATTCCTCGCAACGGTAGTCGGTGAGTTGAAAAAGAAAAAATTCTTTTCTTCTCCGTTCTTCAAGAAATAACAAACCTTGTATATATGATCCATATCTTCCAATAAATAATTAGCATTTGAGTGCGAGATAAGATTGATCTCTGTGGTGGAAAAGTAATTTTATTCCTTTTTCTAATAAACTTTTTTGAAAGTCCATTAAAAAATAACTAATGGTTCCTTGACAACAGTCCTTAAAAAAATATAAAAATTAAAAGAAAAAAGATTAAAGATGATTGAAAATTGAAATATACCGTTACATATATTACTACCATTTGTAATGAACCATGTTGTTCGCAGTGAATCTGTCATCGTTGTGCTATGGGATTATGTTAGGATGGCAGTCACCGTTTGCTCCGCAACTGCAAAGCCCATTGCCACCTGTAGGAAGCGAGCCAATGACAGACGACGGTGTGTCCTGGTTGAGCGGCATTATGTGTCTGGCTGGGACCGTTGTAACTGTGCTGCTCTCGGTAATACCTGACAAATTCAGTCGCAAGAGATTCGGTTACGTGCTGGTGATACCGATGACGCTCTCTTGGCTGCTGATCATTTTTGCCACCGAGCACATACACATCTATATAGCGAAAGCCCTGTGTGGTATCGGCGGTGCTGGCATGTTCTTCCTTGTGCCGAATTATATTTCGGAAATATCATGCGACAGCATACGCGGCCTCTTGGGAACTGTCATGATATTCTCCATAAATGTAGGAATATTAATAGTTTACATCCTGGGCGGCATATTGTCTTTTCGTTCGTTCGCCATGGTCGCGTTGACAGTGCCCGTGTTGTATCTCATTGCTTTCGCCTTCATGCCGGAGTCGCCGGTCTATCTGGTGCGTCAAAACCGTATGCACGATGCGATTAGGTAAAAAAGGAGTAGAAAAATAAATACCTACACATTCTTTTTGAAAGCATTGTCTGAACAAATGTTACGATTTGCTGTACTAGATCCCTCAAATGGCTGAAAAATAAAGACAGTCTGACGATAGAACAAACATTGTCGTATCTACAGTTGGAAGTTAAGAAGGCTACATCTACGAACTCTGCCAAGCTGTCTGATCTATTTAGAGACAAAGCGACAATCAAAGGACTGATAATTGTCTTGGGTTTATTCGGCGGTCAACAATTTTGTGGAATCACTGCAATGGTAATTATTGATAACTGTTTATAAATTTATTCGTCAATTTTTCACATCAAATTCTTACCTAATTCATGCATTCGATGCGATACTGCTCCCATTAAGCGTAAAAAAATGATGTAGTGTCATAACAATATAAGAAAGAGACTTCTTATATTAAAATCTATGTATACATGGCATGGTGATCTCATTTCCTCAATTATAATTATGATTTATTATTGCATATTAATAAATGCAGAAAACAAAAATACTGAAAGTTGAATCAAGCGAAATACTTTAATCTCGTTCTCTATTCACAATGAACTTTTATCTTTATAAAAAGATTTTTTCTTATTCTCTCACCAGATCAATTATACGGAAAGTATCTTCAAGATATCCGGCAGTTCATTAACGCCAAATGCGTCGGCCATCATCGTGGCAGTCATACAGCTTTTCGGTACTTTCCTGTCCTTGTTCCTGGTAGAGCGTGCAGGTAGACGGCCTCTACTCCTGATATCTTGTGCAGGAATGTTTGTGTGTCACTGCGTGATCGGCACGTTCTGCTATCTTCAAGACCTCCAATATGAAGTATCTGCCTACGGTTGGGTACCGGTAACAGCATTGTCTATCTTTGTGGTGGCGTATTCTCTGGGAATGGGTGGCTTACCCGTCGTAGTGATGTCGGAAATATTTAGCCGCGACGTGTCCAGTTTGGGTACGATTGTGGGATTGACCATGGGCTGGACTACCTCTTTCATCGTAGTCAAGATCTTCGCCGATCTCATCACTTTACTCGGCATGTACGGTTGCTTTTTTCTTCTCGCCACTTCCTGCGCGTGCAGTTCCTTGTTTTGCTTTGTATTTGTGCCAGAAACCAAGGGACGGATGCGCGAAGACATCGTGGATCAACTCAACGGTGTACAATGTACAAAGAAAGATGTTAAGCATGTAATCGGGACGGATTCAATGCACGCAGCAAACGTGTAAAAGTTTTATCTACACTATAAAATGCTTATATGTTACAATGATATTTGCATCTAAAAGCACTGCAATGGAAAAAAAATTAATTAATGTTCTTAATTACGCAAAGTTTCACATATTTCTTCACTTCATACTTTTAGATGCACTTCTTTAACATATATACAGATTCTGTACATTTTGTTTATAGTATAGTTTTATAAAAAATTCGATACTGTCAGTTTCTCAAAGATAATTTCTTATACTGAAAACGAGCTAATATAATTTTTATTTATACTTTAATGTTTATTAGCAACTTAAGACCTTTGAAGGAAGCCTGCTTTAGTATTTATTTTATATGTTGCGTAAAATGTTTCTCTGGTATGACTTAATATTACGAAAATGAAATAATTAAGATATACGTTTCCGATAAGTCTTAAGAGGAGATGAGTCTCGTATATCTTTTAATTGATAAACTTAGTTAATAAGTATTATCGTTTGAAATTTTATTTATGACAATATGTCGTACATTATCTGGCAAGTGCGCTTTATAAGTGAAAAAGTAGAATTTTGAATAAATCGATACGTAATGTATGATGCAATGTTGACGATATTGATAATGTTGATAGCATCCAATTGATGGTGTAAATGAGAATATATAAATGCTGGTATACAATACTATTATTAATGTAAGAAGAAAAGTTGTATAAAAAGATATGTATATATTCTATCATTTTATTAATTAATTTCTAAGTAATATTTTTTAAAATATAACAGAAATTATAATATATATAATTTGACCAAATAGTATCGAAACTATTATATTAATAAAGAATAATAAATTAATTATATATGTATAAATATTAAAAAGAATCGGGATTTTTATATAAACATATATAAAGTACAATTAAACTTTTCAATCATTGTCATTCATTCTCTTACGTACGTTCTTGTTTCCAATCTTTCTCTTCTTAAAAATAGTCGGTCCCTCCTCGTTATCACTATCACCGATATTAATCCGAGTGACAATTTTTTCCTTAAAAGTCCTTTGAACAAGTGGCGGTTCTGCTTTTGCAAATGTAGGTAGCAGTATCTGTTTCTGCTTCGGCAACTGCAAGTCTACTGGTTTCTTTTTGCTAAAACATCAAACGTTCGATGTTTAGATTTCGTGAAATATTGCATAGGAAATGACTTAGTCTTTCGAAAAATGCATACAATCTGAGCTTATACACACAAATAAACAAACAGTGTATATTTTAAGAATTAAGAGCAAAATTGTAATACGCGAGATAAATGTTGTTAAAAAATAGCGCAGTACCTTGGCTATCGGAATAATATTTAAATATTTATATAACATTCAAATATTTACATTGTCTCCACGACTTGCCAGGATCCATATGGTTGTGGTCTCTCGGGTACACTGTAGTCTCGCCAATAAGGTCGTTCCTCTTCGGTCGTTTTTTTCTTAACTTCCACGTCTCCGTCGTCATCTTCGTCGTCATCTTCGGCATCGTCTTTTCTAATGGGTTTTCTCAACTCTTTCATCCTTTCCCTCTCAGCGTTGGCTCGTTCTTCTTCGAGAATATCCGCTTTCTCGATCGCTTTCTCCTTCTCCAATTGTTTCATGAGTTCTCTTTGCAGTGCCTCTTCCTTCGCTTCTTCTTCTTGTTCCACCAAGGTCATATACCCTTCTTCAGGAGGTGTCCAAACCGACTCTAAAGTATCGAATAATATTACGTGATATTGTCGTACTTGATAGATATGCGGCAAATAAAATATATCAAAATTTGATATTGTACGATATTGCGACTAGATTTAGTTTTAAGATTTAATACTCTATATTAAAGTGACAGATATCAAGGAAAGATACGACTATGAATATAGCAATTCAACAAAATTATATTGAATACAAAATAATATTGAAATTTTTTGTTCTTGATTACTATCTTTGTGCATAATAATTTAAAAAAAAAAACATTATAAATAATGAATAGAAATACGCAAAAATGTAGAAATTATATAAATCTTAAAAAGCAAATACACACTATTTTCTTGTAAAGGAAATTATTGGAATAATTAGGAGAAAATGAGATATCAATGCAGTGTTGCACACCCAATAAAAAACATCCACAAATGTGCAGATATTCGAGACATCTAGGCGAGCAAAGAGATGAAGAAAGTTCGACAAAGGTACACGCACCGTTTGTTTCGATGTGCCAATAGTAAGTGTATCCTTCGGGACTGAGAGCTTCGTACCACAGTTTCCTGACGGGTGCGGTTGTACGATCGTCCTCCTGGGTCTTTTTCCCCTTTCCCTTCACTCTACTTGCTTTACTCTTCCCAGGAGTCCTGTTCTCGCCGCCCTGTTGTTGGATCCGTGGTAACGATGGCGTGCTCCTTGACAAAGTCGCGGGGTCACAAGGATCCACCTTCGGCGAGAACTAAAAAAATTTCGGTGGAAAGTCGTTTTGCACAAATCAAATTTTCTTACAAAACGCAGACATGTAATCACGGATAGCTAGTCTCTCTTCCGCAAATAAAATAACGATTTTCACTCTCAATCTTGAGAAAAAAAATATAGCAAACTAGATAACTATTATGCTTTATCAATAATTGAATAATTGAAAAGATAGATTGGAAAGTCTATTCTCACCTGTTTGGTGTTATTTTTGAACCTTGGTATTGTATCTGGAGCGGCTGATGGCAGATGACCGCAGATTTGAGGCGCCTAACAATATACGCACAATATGAATATTAAACATATTAATATTAAAATTAAAATATATTATTTAGATAAATAGATTTATATTCACATTTGTGCAATAAACAGAAATATGAGAGGGAG